GTAGTATGTGATCTACAGAGTTGGTGCTACTGTAGTATGTGGTCTACAGAGCTGGTGCTACTGTAGTATGTGATCTACAGAGTTGGTGCTACTGTAGTATGTGGTCTACAGAGTTGGTGCTACTGTAGTATGTGATCTACAGAGTTGGTGCTACTGTAGTATGTGGTCTACAGAGCTGGTGCTACTGTAGTATGTGATCTACAGAGCTGGTGCTACTGTAGTATGTGGTCTACAGAGCTGGTGCTACTGTAGATGTGATCTACAGAGCTGGTGCTACTGTAGTATGTGGTCTACAGAGTTGGTGCTACTGTAGTATGTGAAGAGATGAGAAAACCAAGTGGGGGAGAGAAACCAAAAGAGGGAAGTTTAGATAGCAAAGACTTGTGCCATACCCTGTCAAATGCTTTGGAGATGTCGAGGGCTACGACAAAAGTTTCCCCATAATCCCTAAGAGAGGATGACCAAAGATGTGTGCAATAGGAGAGCAGATCACCAGTAGATCTCGCCTGGCAAAAGCCATACTGGTGATCCGACATAAGAGAAAGGCGTTCAAGGTGACGGAGAAAATGGGAGTTCAAGATAGTTTGGAAAATCTTAGAGAGGGATGAAGTTAGGGCAATGGGGCGATAGTTAGAGGGGTTAGAATGGTCACCCTTCTTCTGGATGGGCTGAACCAAGGCATGCTTCCAAGAAGAAGGAAAAGTTTGGGTTTTGAGGCAGAGGCGAGCAAGCACAGGAGCCAGGACTTCAGAACACGAGGGGGGTATTCCGTCCGGTCAATGCGCCTTACTCACATCCAACCTGGATAACACACCGGCAACCCTGCGAGTGGAGATTATAGGACAGTGCATAGGTTCAGTAGGAGGTGCAGGGGTAGGAGGGATAGTGGGAATCGTCTAAGGTGGAATTAGAGGAGAATAAGGTGCCAAAGAGGTTGGCTTTGTCAGGGGGAGAGTTGGCTATAGAGTTATTGGGTCGGAAGAGAGGAGGAAGAGGGAGTGCAGAAGTTGTTATAGATGTTTTTAGTTAAGGACCAAAAGGAATTACTAGAGGAAGAATTAGTCAGGACAGCGATCTTTCTTTTAATAAAATTCCGCTTGGCCCTACGAAGAATAACCTTACACCGATTCCTAGAAGTAATGAAAGAGGTGTGGGTGATGGGAGAAGGAGATAGTTTCATAGCTCAATATGCCCTATCTCTCACCCTGCAAGCAAGAGAGCAGGAGCGATCAAACCATGATTGTAATGTGAAAGTTTTGGTAGAAGATGGGATAAATGCACTCATACCGCCCTGTATAACCCCAGCAATGCTGTCAGCACATACCGAGGCATCCCGAGTGGAAAAGCAACATTCATCCCAAGGAAAGTCGGTGAAGAATTCACACAAGGATTGCCAGCTTGCCCTCCGATAGTGCCATAGTTGACGTTTAGAGGGGGTGGGGGAGGTGGTAGTGCCCAGTTTGATTTAATAGAAATAAGGTTGTGATCAAAAGACCCTAAGGGGGCAAAAATTGAGTATGAATAGTGAGAGGGGTTAGAGGTAAAACAAAGATCAAGAATGTTAGCAAATTGATCGTGTCGATCAGGAACGCGTGTAGGGTGTTTGATGTAATAACTGCCAATGAGAACAACTTTTGTATTGAATTTGTGTGGATTCCGTCCCATGTTGGAATTAGGAATCATGACTGCTGATAGACTGGCCAATGAGGCATATAAGAAAGAAAATGTGGACCTGACCTTGGCCGGTCCAATGCTGTGCTCAAAAACATACAAGTCAAAATCATGAACTCTTATCGAGAAGAACTGAGAAATACAGAAAGACCTGGTAGTTGTAGCATTAGTAAACATGACAAATTTTATGACAAGAGGTACCGGTCCGGCCAGAACCAGACAGTATGATGTAGTTGTGGCCAGAATTAGGCAAGGATACAGATACATCTGGCAAGTTAGTGATGCTGTAACCATAATGGAACACTCAGCATGTACACATTGATAAACCTTTAAAGCATAGTCTTGAACACTGTATTATTGAATGTGACACTGTCAAAGACTTCAGGCCTCCTGGCTTATTGTATCATTTACAGTATGTGTTTAATTAATCATATTTTAAGTGAAGTTATTGTAATTGTTTCCTGTTGCCTACTTGTATTTCAGGTTTGGGATTGCAGTGTATATGTGATGAGTAGCACTGTGTAGCAGACTGTGGAGTAAAGAGCAGAGGAGATGCAGTTGGAGGATGTCACGAAGGCAGAGTTGCAGCTCGGGAAGAAGTAGCGACGGCGCTTGTTTGAAAGAGGAATTGATGTAGATCTGTTGTGTATAAAGTGTAAGCAGTTTTTCATTTGGTTTACTGTATTTGAAGTGGAAGTTGTAACATCACAGGTGCGGTCGTAGAGTCGGCAACATCTACGAGTTAAGTCCGCGAGTTAGTAAAGGAGTTAGCCATTAAGTTTATATAAAGCTTATGGTAGTGTGATACAGGTTGGACCTCGCTAATCCGGGATACTTGGGACCAGACAGGTTCCAAATTAGCAAAATTCCGAACCGTTGAAGCAGAGGTTAAAAAAAAAGGCATAACAATGCATAAACTGTACAACTTACATCAGCATAAATCTAGCCAAGGCTTACTGAACCTCTTTATGACAAGGAGTTAGTGTTATGGCACAAGTTTACTGAACACTGGACCCTTACTTTATGTGCCTTCACTATATGGGAATTTGCATATATATGTACTATGAATTTATTTGAAATACTCTGAAACATTCAATGTCATAATATCCTGACCACTGGGGTTAGTTATACAGACTTCCATGTGAAAAAGTCATAATTTTGAACAAGAATATTACTGTACCGACTTTGTACTCAAATGTACTAAGCTAAAGAATTAAAAATCTTATCTCTTGTGCAAACAATGGGTTATTTTACTCAAATTAATGGCTATCTTGCAAGAATTCCAGCAATGCAAGTTATATTCTGCTGTCAGTGATATTTTATAAGATAAAACTTTAAGCCTAAAACCTCCTTCATCCTCTAAAATCCTTATTCCCTACTGGCTGGGAAGAAGGGGAGGTGAGGTGTTGACAGCCAGGCAGGGAGACTGCCAAGTACGTAGTTATCAGTGGAGGCGGGAGAGGTCAGGGACTCAGGATTATACAGTAGAGAGTTAAAATTTTTCGCTTTTATAATGTCACCGACTTGACTTGACAGAATGTAACTTGCATTGCTGGAATTTTGGCATGATAGCGATTAATTTGAGGATAAACATCCCATAATTTGCATTAGAGATAAAATTTTTAGACCTTTAGCTTAGTACATTTGAGTACAAAGCGAGTACAGTATAATACAGTATGTTGTTCAAAATTATAGCTTTTTAGTAATTAACTTATTACATTTGAATACAGGGTGTGATAATTGTAATGATTTTTCCATAACTTTTATAGCATTACTGTTGGCTTTTAGTAGTTGTGGAACATATCCTAATGTTCCCCAGAAGATAAAAATTCACTAAATGCGTCCCGAACCATCGAAGCTGCCGGACTATCAGGTCCCAGAATAGCTGCCCGGAATAGCTGGGTCCAACCTGTATGTTGCTGAATATTGAAAGTGTAGTATTAGTAAGGTTTAAAATTGTTTTATTTTGGCTTCGTTAAAATGAGAAAATAAAGGGTATGTGGCTGTATAGTAAAGTGAAAATGTTGAAATTATAGTTATTTAATGAGTAAAATGCAAGTTACGAGGTTGAAAGTGAAATTAAGGGGGTGGTTTGTTTATGACGAATGAAAAGTTGAAGTTTAAATACACTGGTTTGTTCTTTTGAATAAATCGTCAGTAATGGAGTGTTCTAAGAGAGGGTGGTACTGTAGTAGTGATGAAGTTTATCAGTGTTGCCAAATAATAAGTAAATAATGTAAAGAAATAAATTGGTTGACTATGTAGAAGTGTTAATGTGGCGACTACAGAAGGGATTAATTAGAATGTTTGAAGAAAGTAAAATAATGGGTGTGAAAAAAATTGGGAGGTCTAAATATTGAAATGTAAATACAGCATTCCCTTAAAGCTCGCTAGGTTGGTAAAACGGACCCTGTGAGAAAGCAAAATCCACGAGTTTTTCATGCCAGTCCCAGGAGTGTGCAAAATACATATATAAATAGCTATATGCACATGTATAACAACATTATGCATGCATAAGATAATATAATATTAAAATGAAATAACATAAATAAATAAACATAAACATGAAATAATACTGTAGGTCCACTCAGTGATAGTTAGTTGTGGTAGTGAGAAACATGATAGCATATACTGTAGTCAGTGATTTGGCTTTGTCAGTACAGTAAGCCAAATTAAATCTGCACAAATTATTTTTCCACACTATACCTTGTTAATTATAGGGTACATCTTATGACCTGGGAAATATGGTGCTGTGTACTGTTGTGCAGTGTTGACCCCTCTTGATCACTGACACACCGCCTCAGATTTAGTTTACTTATTTTCATAGGGACACAATCTTAAAAATCGTGAGCTTTGAGGGAATACTGTAATGTATGTTGTATTTAAGGTTATGAAAGGAAGTTGAGCAGAGCAGCATTGGCTACACACTGAATGCTTGTTCTTTGTGTTTGTTGGTTTTTGAGTGTGTGTGCAAATGTAAGATAATGATGGGTGAGACTGAATGGTTAAGATACTGCTGGTAGTTGATTCTGGCCCTGTATAGCACTGCTGTTATGGTAAGTGTTTGGTATGAAGTCTTACATAATGAGATTAAATATTTGACATAAACGTACTAAAGAGCAAAATCAAGTACTGTAGTAAGAATATTGTAGGAAGTATCAGTAATATGTTCACTCATCTTGAAAATTACAGTCATTATGTTCTACTAATTGCTTACACATAAAAAATTGAAGTTAAATAGAAGGAAAAAAAGCAGTGTTGATTGTAGCCGTTTGTGTATGAAAGTAGAAAAAAATGTTGAGTATAAGTTAGGTTAAGAAAGTGGTGTTAATTTATTTCAAAAGTAGTCAATAATCCAGGTTGGGCCATGGAGATATCTTGATCGGACAAGCGAAGGTAGACGTAAGACCGTAGCAGAGACGAGATCGTGGATGTCTCAGGTGTTCCAAACCACGAAGAGGAAACTGAAAATATTATTTATATTGAATAATGTATAAAAAATTAAGGGGATAATAATGTTTTAAAGTAGAGAAATGCATCTATAAAAGTTACTGTTTATTTGTAAAGTAAGTTAACATGTTTATGGAGGATGGGTAATGTTTAGGAGTTTATAATGTACTGTAGCAGCTTAATATTGCAAATGGTTTGATAAAAGTTATATAGTATTGTATGTTTGTAACTGTTTGTATATAGAAATCACATTGGGAAAGATGATGTAGTATATTATAGTTGAGAGGTGGCAGTTACTATTGGACTGGAGACATCCTTGAGTAAGTTATTCATTTGTTTCTGTTGACTATGAAAGTTTAGGCTGTTGGGTGTGTAAAGTGAAAATGTTGAAAGTTGTTATTTAATGAGTTAAATTTGAGTTAAATATTAGTTTTGAAAGTAAACTTGAGGAGGTGGTATATTTGTGACTAAAGTATTGAGAGGTAGCGTGAAATTAAGTACAGTAAGAAATATCTCTGTTAGCCGGAATCCCTCAAACCCGAACTCTCACATAGCCGGAATTGATTTTTTCTCGGAAAATCTTTCCCAAAGCCGCAATTTTCCGGAAAATTGCAGCTTTGAGAGCGATTTTCCGAGGTGCACATTTTTCGGAAAATTCCGAGAATATTCCGGGGACGAAGGATTTCTTCCGGCTCAGAGAGAGTCGTCTCGTTACCCGGAAATCTCTCATTCCCGGAAGTGCTCTGCACCAATTGTTCCGGCTAACGAGGATATCACTATATATAAAGATGTTGGTTTTGTTTGTAAAATAAAATGGCAATAATGGAGTGTTGTGAGAAATGGCTAATTTAATAGACAATTGTGTAAAGAAATTAAATGAATAAATTTGGCAGATGCACAAGAGAAGAGATTAACTGAAATGGAGAAATTGTTAAAAGTAAAATACTGTAAATATTGAAAGAAATGTTAGGTTAAATTTTATTTTAGTATATATATATATATATATATATATATATATATATATATATATATATATATATATATATATATATATATATATATATATATATATATATATATATATATATATGTGTGTGTGTGTGTGTGTGTGTGTAAATGTTTATTGTATTGAAACATGGGATGAATGTTAGAAATGGAGAGATTAAATAAATTAGGAGAAATAGCAAAGTTGAGTGGAGGCAAATGGGGCATGGTGAAGTGTTAAAGGAGTATGGGAAGGGAGGTGTTTTAATGTGACAGGCAGGCAGTGAGGAAGGTGATTTGGAAACAAGACAAGGGGGTTAATATTTGAAGTAAGTAAAAATATTGGTGGGAAACAAAAATATTGATCTATAAATATTTGTGCACTTCATAAAAATCTTTGGCTACACTCTAAATGCTGCTTGTTGATGAGTTGGTTTTGTAATGTGTTTGTAATTCTGAGATGATGATGATGGTTTTGAAGAAGAGTGAAATAGACTTGCTAATATACTCTTGGTACTATTTGATCTAGCTGTTTAGCACCATTGTTTGTTCTGAGGACTTTGACATGACATAATCACTTGAAAATCCCATCAGTATCATCTGAATGTAATGTCTGTATTCAGATGAAACCCGTGGCATAACAGCAAAGTCGTATACAGTACCGAGAGTGTGTTAGTGAGTCTGAATTTCATTTGTCTTCAAAACTGGCATCATTGCATTACCAAGATCTACAAAGTAACAAGGAAGAACTAGCAGAATTCAGAAGAGATAAAAACTGGATAAAATAATCGACTTAGAAAAATTCCACATCTCAAATTTTTCTAAGTCCACAAATTGCTGTATTTTTTCTATGTCCAAAGATGTCTGGATTTTTTCAATGTCTGTATTTTGTCTTCAGAAATAATAAAGAATGTTTGACTATATCCCTTCTTTCATTTAGACTTACTTTCGAAAAATTTTTAAGTCCAAACATGACTATATTTTGCCTCTGAAAATATTAGTGATGAAACACATACTGTAAGGTACAGTGATGAAACACATACTGTATGGTACAGTGATGAAACACATACTGTATGGTACAGTGATGAAACACATACTGTAAGGTACATTGAAAATTTTCTATGTCCAAATATCTGTCTTCAAAAATATTACACAGACTTTGAAAAAAAAAAATACTTTACACTGCACAATTTTCTAGAAAATATTACTGACTGGTCAAACATTCTTATTCTGACTTACATTGAAAATTGTTCAGGTCCAAATATGACTAAAGCTTTGTCTTGCAGCACATTAAACAGTTACTGTACATCTGTCATGCACTTGTGCTAATAAAGATGTCAACAATGACATGTACATCACCTTTATACCCATAATGACACAGCAGATTGATCAACATAGTCATTTCACTTGACACATTTTGCAACAACAATATACTGTACTGTACACCCAAGATGCACATCAGTTATTTCACTTTTAACACAATACAGCATTGTACTGTACTCACCAATAATGATTATCTTACCGTCTCAAGGAAGCCCTCACTCACCATATGAAGAGAGCCTGCTCTCAAGCTGGACACATATGGGGACAGTCGTTGGTAGCAGATACAGTACTGACACACCTTCACCATCAGAGTGGGGATGGGTGGAAGAGGATGTTGCGTGGAGACCTTTCTTGACAAGGCCACCAGAGGGTTCTAAGGGCTGTAGGGAGCTTGTAAAATGTAGGTGTCAGATGGGATGTACAGTACAACCCATTGTGGCTGTTCAAGAGTGCAAATGCCTTACCCACCTCAACTTGATTGTATCTGTAAGCAGAAAATATAAATGACAGGTTAGAATCTGTGTCATTAGAGCCCCTGTCTAACAGAGAGTAATACTGTACTTATATAAATGTGGGTTACATACATTAGGTTTATATAACTACATCACCCATGGTAACTTTCCTATGAGCTGTGAGTGGTCATCAACTGGACATGTGACAGTGTAATCCCACTGTGCCCTCACACCGACTGCAGTGTCATCAATTAAGTAGCCGGCCATCGCCAGCTCAACTCCCGTCTCTGAGCCACCGAGACGTGTGCTCTAAGAAGCTATTTATACCTCATCTCCATCCATTATTAATGCTCACAGCGTTGATTACGGTGATATCCCAGTTATTATGCAATAGTTTATTTCTTAATAAATGAGGAAAAGACCATTTGGGTTTTCAAATTTAACCCATAAACATTTATGAATGTTGCTTCCAGTTCACCTCTAATTAGTGTTTCCACAGGTAACCGGAAACTGCAACAGACTACCACCAAAAACTATTACATACAGTTGGGGAATAATATTGTTCCCCACATTGTGCTGGCTTGTGCAGATGTCTGGCAACTCTCCTAATAGTTAAACGGGGCATGAATGAACCTTTCTTGGGTTGTAGTGAGGATGCTATTTGGATGAAACTTTGCTACAATCCAAGACCTGTTCCTTTATTATAATTAACTACTGTAAGTCCTCGCTTAACGTCGTGGTTACATTCTTGAAAAACACAACGTTAACGGAATCAATTTTCCCCAAAAGAAATAGCTAAAATACGGTAGGTACGTTCCCCAGCCTCCCTTTGCCCCATAAAATACCTGACATATACATAAATTCAATGGAATTTTTATAGAAAATAGTATATATTATAGACCCTAAAGATAAATGAACTGAATCATTGTGTATTGTACTCACTGATGGGCAGAGGTGGAGTGAGTGTGTGGTGGAGAGTCACTGAGACCGGCAGAGGGGCTCCTCCTCCCGCTATGACTGGGGTTCCTCCTCGGCTACTGGTCACTCCTCCTCGAAAGACAATCTAAAAATAACTGTTGGTTCATGCTAACGGAAGTGATTGACATAAGTTATGAAGTTGACCGATGTGAACAATAAACCGACAGTCTACACACAGTTTGAGAATGTAACAACAGGAGAATGACAGACCACCAACAGTTATTTTAGATTGTCTTCGACATGTGTTCTGTCATTCGGTTACGAAATTTGTCAAATAGTTATGTAACAATGTCTCAACGGATATGTGAAAAGGTGTATTTTAGCTTATCCGAAAAGAATCCGATGTTGGATAACATACGTATCTCAGGATGTTTTGTGTTGAGTTTATCCATAGAGTTGATGTAATTTGCACCATGATGTATTTGGTAGTTTAATATACTATATACTGCACACTAAAATTTATTATGTAATTCGGTGCATGGTGTCAATTGTAAGAGAATGTGTGTCTTATATATACATAATTTTATACCTTAATTTGTTCTAAGGTGTTTTAAAGTGATAGAAAGGTCAACATAAGTTATCCATTTTGTTGGCATCTGGTAATGTAAGACGGTAAGATGTTTTTATTTGGAAAAACATTGAGAATATAAGATGGTGATGATTGGTCAGTATGAGTTGTCAAATAGCATTATGTATTGAGGGGTTTATTGTGCAGTGTTCAGTACATTGGTGTAATGAATCTCCTTTGTAAGACATTGTGTTAGTTGGGTTATATCTGTACAGTGCGTTTGATGGCGTCTCCGAGATGTTTGACGTATGCAAGTGAAATATAAAAGAGAAGCAATGTCAAATGGAGGGGACAAAGGAGATGTTGTACATGTGATGGTAAGAATTGATAACTTGTTGAAGACTTTATCACAAGATACTGTCGTACTTGATCACAGCAAAATTTTCTTGTGACTAAAACAAAATGATGACATATTTTAACCCCTAGACTACAGAGACACCAGATGATTTAACTCAGCTCAAGAGAGCGACACATACACAAGGGGGTTTAAGTTTGCCTAGACAAAGTTTAGTTTCAATTTGGTACTGAAAAAAATTTAAACCCTTACGTAACCAGTGTCCCTGTCTTCCGCTGAAGCTTGAAAATCCTTATTCTTGCACCTCCACGCCAATCTGAAAAGAGGAAAATAGTCAACGAGTGAACTTTCTACACTTATATTTAACCGACAAAAGAAGGGGTCACAACTTGGTATGTTTTCATATTTAACATTACCTCCAGTGCTTAATTTTTCCTCATGTTATCTTTTCCTATCTCTCAACTGTAGTTCAAACTTCCTTGCTTCACGTTCCTCAGCAAGTTCGCTATACAGGTATTCCAGTTTCTTTATACAGTTCCTCCTCAAATAATATAGATATACATTATCCACCTAAACTTGCATCTTATCCAGATTTAATTATTTCAGCAATATTTACTGATAAACTCTCCATCATTGCAATATATATTATTATTTATTCTGATATACTATACTGTATCAGTAAATATGTTTAAGTCAACAAATAATAAAAATAATGACCCAATAAATCATACTTACAAGTTATTAATCTCACAGCCATCACCCAGCCATCCCAATCAGTGTCATAAACAAGGAGAGGTGAAGCCTACACCTGGCTGCACTATCTATGGAAAGAAAAGGTATGCAGTACAGGATGACCTCACTATTTGCAACCCCGCTTATCCTCAATTCACATTTTAACACCCCCCTTCAATATTTGTAAAGCATCCTCCTCCCTTATTCGCTAAGAAATATTATAGTCCCCTACAATAATAATGGCAGATACAGTTCATCACCACACAAGGCTCACCACCACACTCATGGCTCTTCACCACACACAGCTCATCACCAAACATATGGCTCATCACCACACACAGCTCACACGGCTCACCACACAGCTCACCAACAGACTCGGCTCACCACAACTCACAACTCAGACACACAGGTCATCCAAATCTAAATTATCTTATCTAACTTATTTTTTATGCTACAAGAAACAGAATGTCCACTTCATAATATACATCAAATACAACACCGTTCATCTCTCACTACATAACTTATATTTAAAACTAAAACACAAAATATGATAAAGATTTATTTGGGGCCACAATAGGAATAGGTGTGTTTTTTTGTTTTTTTACGGTGATTTGAATGAACATGACCTTACTTTCTGCGGCTAATGGTTATTTAAGGAGATACGTTCCATGATTTGAAGATGAGGGAAAACGTGGGGATAAATCACACAAAAACCAGACCAAACAGACCTTTATAAACCTTACCTAACCATTCTTAACTCAAGAAAGTCATAATAATATAGATAACATTACCCAATTTTACCGATGGCAGAGGAAAAATTTATGCTTTTTATTTTTTCGTGTTTTTGGAGTTTCGTCAGTGATGCTCTTCTTGTTTTTGTGTTGAGGTCACAAGTTGATTGAATATGTTGAGATAAAATTGGGTAATTTATGAGGAACCGCTACCACCGGAAAGTGCCGTTCGATTTGGATAATTTTTCCCACAAATGATCTTACCATTATACAGTAGTAAGTATTTTTCAGGAGACGACAACTTTTTGCTTTAATTATAAACATTTGTTTTTTCTATCTGCAACCATAAATCACCTGTAATGGGCAGGGCATGAAAGATGAGGAAAATTGGGGGGTAAAACACTGAAAACTTATAACACTCCACTAAAATTATGTCTATGTGTTTTGTAAGTGAAGAAATTATTTATTTACTATAAATACTCCTCCAAATAATCTGCCGAGTCAGCATGTGTTGTCATCTGCTTGTTTGTTTACAACTGACCCACTCGGTCCGAGCATACTCTCACGCCCACAAAAAACATAAAATTACACCATGAAGCTTCAATAAAGTTGCTTTCATTTGTACCAGATATCAAAATAAGTATTTTCTGTTTAATATAGTGGGGAGTTTGCCCTCCGGCTAAGAAGTTAGGTAAGGTTAGGTAGGTTTAATTAGTCTGGCTAAGAAGTTAGGTAAGGTTAGGTAGGTTCCTTTGGTCTGGCTAGGAAGTTCGGTAAAGTTAGGTATTTTTCTGTGGTTGCTTAGGTTAGGTTCTAATAAATATTGCCTCTTAAAACACTTCCTATAATGCTTAGAACAAATTGTGAAAAATGAAACAAACCTGCACACTATTTCTGGTGGTATTGGTGTTTTTATACATTATGTAAAATTTTTGTGCATGCGTAAATTTATCAAGTGGTTAGGTTGGTTAAGTGATGTTCTGTTAGGCTCTGTTTATTCTCGTTTCCATTTTCGTGTTCAGTATCGTGCAAATGCAGAAGCTTTTCATTTGCGCCAGAAATGAAACTCAAATTCGTTCATAACACCTCAAAAACCACCGGAAAATCATGGTTTCGACTGCTGGACCCACATGTCAACCCTTAACTAATTACTTGTACCCAATTTACGAGACAGTTTGTACCTCTATATATGGGTACAGGTTGTCTTGGGTACGAGATGACCTTAACCAGTTTCGACTTTGATTTCTCATAGTGGCAACAACACAACAGTAGGTGACCTACCTCAGGTATGAGTTGTAGTTGATGTCCACGAGTTCCCAGGGCATGGTAGTAGTGATGGACCAGTATTAATTGAAAATAAAGTCGGCGTGTCTGCTCTTCGATGTAGCAAAATTGTTTATTACTATTTCATTAAAATCCTTTATTTCTGTTATCATTTTATTTTCAATGGATATCACTGCTAAAGCAGACAGTCTGTCATTTAATGTCAGCTGGGAAAAGTTGATGTTTTGCAAATACTTCACTCGATTTTCCATCGTCAAAGGGTAATTAAAGAAAGCACGAGTTAACCACACCGTCCACACGTAATGTAAACACGAGACTGACCGGCGCCAATTAATAACAGACATCAATCGTACAGCACTGACACCAACTATGAAAGTAACTTAAATTTTGGTCTGATTTTAATGAAAATTCACTTAGCAACGTATTGAAAATAATTAAATAACATATAAAATGATATATTTGTTGATAGTGTATTATTGAGCTGTCTCTCTAAAGGACTCATACGCCTGGCAGTGAGTGTCTGGGGGGGGACTGCAGCCCTATGCACGAGCCGCCACTGACATTAATTGATAAAAACTCACCCATATGAAGTGTTGCCGACCTAACCCTATCAACTACGCAGCATATCAATCATAATTAACCGGTTTAAACTAATCCTACGCTAAAAACACGGACAAATAAAGCGATTAATCAATATTACCTTTGATGTTGAGTTTTGAAAACAGCTCCCGTACCTTCCTCGCTGAGTGTGGTTGTTTACTCCCAGACGAGACACTCTTCCCTGTAACCCGTGATGATGGTTTAGTGACACTGTTAACTCATAGATAGCGCTCACCTCCATATACAGCTCTAAAATTATGATGCCTTATTACTTTTTTACGCTGAAAATATATACCAGCTTTTGAATAATCATCTGTTACCTTTAAGTAAAACTATATTAGCATGTAATTGAGTCTATGGCAATAAAATGAGCTTTTGGTGTCAACTGAAAAAACGTAAGGATTTCATGAGTTTAACTAGATAATGTTACTTCATTCTTGGGGGAACTAAAGTAAATTATAAATCTATTACACAACTGCAAACTTTGAAGTATTCTAACTATTCTCACTAACAAAACTGTACAATGGTATTGTAGTGGATTTCTCCCCTACAAACGCTGTTTGTCGCTGGGTAGCCGACCCCACCAATTCCCCATTGTATGCCTCGTGGTCTAGGTCAACCAGCGCCGCCATACATCACGGAGCGGGGGTCAACTACTAAGCCACGCCTACCCTCCCGCTATTTAAGACCTGACCTCGTGGTGACCTGTCTCTTTTCTACCTACACCAACCAGCCAGCAACACCTCCTCCGCCTGCCTGGTGGTCCTCTCTCCCGCCGGCGAGCGGTCCTCGCTCCCGCCGGCGAGCAAGGCGACCCACAGGCTGGTCCTCCTCTGAGCATCCTCACCAACCAGCTCTTTCTACATCACGCTTGTAACCATGCTGCCTTCCCAGCACCAAGCTGCATTGTACATCCAATACAACATGTATATAGAGAGCACATTGTGAGTTTCCTTTCTTCATTCCATCCTGAGTGAGAACCAAAAACCCCACAGCCTCAATAATCACGCCATAGTAAATCGTGTTCCCTTTGCGCTTCTCACAATAACACAAGATTAACGTCATAAACACGGTCTGTCAACCAAGACGTTCAGAACTTCAGAGGTGATCAAGTCGTCTACATCAAGTAAACACCTCTGAAACTCCTAGTACAGTAATTATCATTCAGAAAAATTTAATTAAAATATTCCAAACGTCATAAAACCGCTAATACCCCGCATGATCAGGAATACAGAGATTTGACACGCCTGGTCCTAACATAGCGTTGTATCCCCTAAGGGCGTCCAAAGAACCTGATTCTTCTTCGTTTTCTGTTACTTGATGTTAAGGCTTCCTCTATCGACTGTATAAATCGATTCTTTTAGTTTGAGGGTAAGTTTATTAACCCTTTGAGTACAATGACAACCCAATGAGCACGATGATAACCCGTTAAGTATGATTAAAGAAGATTTAACCAGTTGAGTATTGTCACTTGACCTCTTGTACTACGACAATCCCTGAGTACAGTGGCTTAACCTTTTAAGTACGATGACTTAGCCCCCTGAGTATGAAGACTTAACTCCTTCAGTATGATTAAATCCTCTCACAACATCGTCATATTGCAAACAATAATAATAATAATAATCAACCACAACAACAACCAAAATTGCACTCCACCACCAACCACCACCTACAACCAACAAGAATTAACAACCATCACCAACAACAATCAAGAATCATCACCAAAACAACCAACAACAACAACAAGCACACCACAATCAACCACAACTATGAGCCAACTATAACACCCAACAGCTACTGGGTCAAACTTTATAACCTGAGATAACATGAAGATACGTCAATCCTGCCTTTATTACCTCGGAATGTGTGTGTGTGTGTGTGTGAATAGTAATGACATCACCTGAAGAATCTCCGCCTAACCTAAGCCAAGCTGGACAATGTTACTAGTTAATAATAATAATAATAATAAACACCAATAACATGAATCTCTCAGAGTTTCTGACGGGGCATCCTCCACTCAGGCTGAACTAATAGCCCTTCTCGCTGAGGAAGAAGCAGATGGTTTCTGCCCCTTGCTTGTCTGCTGCGATTCCAGGTCTGCTCTCGACGGGATCGCATTTGGATCAGGGGAAAATAAGGACCTCATCCTCCGAATCCGAGGGTTAACATCCACACTTCAGAATGCAGGCCGTCCCGTGACATTCCTATGGATACCCAGTCATGTCGGTATCTTGGGGAATGAGGCAGCAGATGGCCTTGCCAAGACTGGCTGCAACAAGGCCACACCTGACTACGTTGTTCCTCGAACACTCTTACAGATTAGGACCCAAATTCGCCGCAAACAGAGAGAAGCTCGGGAAGCAGCCATCCCCCTGGACTCCCCGCCCACCTGGTACGATGTCCTCCGTAAACTTCCTGACCTCTCGTACGTCTACGGGAAAGGGTCGCGGAAAGGGGACGTGATTGCTGCCCGTATCATCATTGGGTAAGACTTTGCTTGGGAGATTGGTATCCCCGCATCCCCTGAGCAACACTCTTGTGCATTATGCAGAAGACCCGACAGCAGCACCCTTTTCCACTACCTCCTAAGATGTCCCCACACACAACGCTTCCGTGACGCCTGCTGGACCACCACTCCACGACCCCCTGACGGCGACACGATGATCCTCGCCCTACTGGCCAGATATTTTGTAAATAACATTGATTATGTGTTAAAGGAATATCCTTCCTTCCTTAGGCTTTAGTAAGCCCCTTTATAATATTTATACTGTATATACTTGTCACACTTGCCAGATGCTTCTGGTGTCATTGTACAGGGGTACCTTGTGACAGCACTAGGATCCCGCTTCCTCTATCAAGGAATAAACAATTGAAATTGAATTGAATAACACGAAAAAAAACATTGCCTCAGTTCCAAGCGTCATTTAGAAAACTGTAGTGGTGATAAGCCCGAAAAAGATTTATTACACCGTGTTATAACTCTACGCCTTGCATTACTGATAAGATAACAATGATAACTTCAGAGCCTCAATGTACTCTAAGAATGGTTGAAATTAGTTATTAATGGTTTATATTAGTTTATTTTACTGTTTTTCTGAAGAGTTTGGAAGTGGGAAATAAATTCTCGACCCGGAAACACAAAACAAAAGACGATCGTGTTTACAGGCGCCATCATTACGTCATAAACTCCCCCGGTGTTAAAACTTTATCGTGTTTTATCAAATAATTACATGCAATAAAACAAAAGAGATTACTGTAAAATAATCTAATCTATTACAGTTTATTAAAAGACTATCGGGATTTTTTTACACTACTGTTTCTGAAAGATGTCCTGGTTAGGTTATTAAATAAAACCTTAAGAGAAAATATTAAAATGGGAGCTTATTTTGACGTGTATATGTTAATCTACTAGCTAAAGATGTTAATATTGTAGTTTTTAGCTTTTAACTTTAATATCTGTACGTATATGTGTAATATTCCCCTCTGTAGGAAGCTGGTACCCCGCTGATTGGTACAAAGACAACAGGTATAGAAGGAAAATGTTAAAAGTTGATTGGTCGGTAAACTTGAATCTTCTCACCCATGTAAACACTAAACTTTGTGTTAAAATTAATAAAATATATGATTCATTTAAGTTAGGTGATGTTAAGTAAGGTTAAGTTCGTACTATATAGAGTAGCTTAGGTTAAGTTCCATAAAATTAGGAAAGGTTATATATGTGTGTGTGTGTGTGTGTGTGTGTGTGTACGACTCTGCCGGTCCCGTATTGGCCTCTCTACTCTCCTCAGAGCTGACCATATCACTGTATCATAGCTGGATGATCGTCATACTCGATTCCAAGTGACAGCAAAGTAGTAGTAGTAATAGTAGTAGTAGTAATAGTAGTAGTAGTAGTAGTCGTAGTAGAAGTAGTAGTAGTAGTGTGTATGAGCGTAGTTTTATTCGTGTGTACGTATAATCACTTACATATGAGTATGGAGTCATGTACGTAAACGCGTTTATGTGTACGTGTTTTTCCATGTGCACCTTACATAACGGACAAAATATTACGCCCATGTGACACACTAACACCTGACTGGGATAGATATATCATCTTGGTGACAGAGAGGGAGGGGGAGAGAGAGGGAGGGAGTGTGAGAGTGGACATTTGGCTACCGTCTCGCTCTATTGGGTGAATGAGAGAGAGAGAGAGAGAGAGAGAGAGAGAGAGAATGTATTCTTTCCTCCTAGGTGTCGGATGTGTCATATCTGTGTCATTTTAGGTCATATAGGAAGGTGGCATCTCTCTCTCTCTCTCTCTCTCTCTCTCTTATCTCACCTATTCCTCTTTACCTCCTTCGCTCTTGTGCCCGGTCGAGACAGCTGATCTGGTCGACACAGCTGATCTGGTCGACACAGCTGATTTAATCGACACAGCTGATCTGGTCGAGACAGCTGATCTGGTCGACACAGCTTATCTGATCAACACAGCTGATCTAATCGACTCAGTTGATGTCGACGAGTCAGCTGATTACCATGACATTGCGGTTTCAAATTTCACGCTGGTTAAGTCGATGTTTTAGCGCCATCTGTTGGTGGGATGTGACACTTGTCTTCCTCTCCGTCATAGACGCTTCCTCTTGACACACACTTGACTTTATTTTACACAGATTTGACTTCCATTTAATAGATTTGGCTTCAATTAGATACAATTTGACTTCAATTTGATAGATTTGACTTCATTTTGACACAGGTTTGGCTTCTAGACACGATTTGAATTAAATTTGACACATACTTGACTTATTGACACGATATGATTTCAATCTGACACGATTTGACATCCACTTGACATTCAAGGGGTTAAATTATAGTAATCAATGGCTTAAATCATCGTACCTAAGAGGCTAAATCATCATGCTCAAGAGATTAAGTCATCATACTCAAGGGGTTAACTCAGTACTCATGGGGTCAAATCAACGTACTCAAGGGATTAACATTACTTAAAACAATCAAAAGTCCCTTAAAACCAATTGAAACCCATTAAGACTGAGCCCCAATCCCAATCAGAGAGTTACAGAGGGAGTCAAATCGGATTAGAGGCAACATGCGACAGATTACCATTGTATTGACAGATTAGTTTAGTTACCCTTAAAACATTTTCTATAATCGAATTTACATCTAAAAATAATGTAATTTAATCGTTGGGTTAATAATAATAATACGATAATAATAATAATAATAATAATAATAATAATAATAATAATAATAATAATAATAATAATAAAATTCCCTAAAAACGAAAACTATTCATTACAACAATAATTTATAATAATCGGTAATTATCGAACCTAAACGAGGGATAATAAAGAATTGGTCATAAATATTAACACGAGAAATAATAACACGGAGGGAGAGAGTGACACCATCAATGAGAAGGGCGGGGAAAAAAAAAATCCCCTAAACATCTGTTACTTCCCTATCGAGTGGAGTGTTTTCTCCCTACCCCTCCCCTGCCACACAATGACACTCCTCCCCTCACCTACCCTCCCCTAGCCAACCCCTGACCCTCCCTGACCTTCCCCTGACACTACTACCTTACCCTAACCCTCTTTTTCTTCCCCTGATCCTCCTTTCCTTCCCCTGATCCTCCTTTCCTTCCCCTAATCCTCCTTTCCTTCCCCTGATCCTCCTTTAACCTCTCACCTAGACATCCCTGACCCTGCTACCCTCCTCCTGACCTCCCTTCCTTCCTCTACCCTCCTCTTTTTCCCTCCACCTACCCCTCCTTCACCTCAGGAATCACAACAAGTGCGGTTATTACTATTACAACGCTTGACTGCGCCTCTGTGGTCGCCCCTCCCCAGATGGCCGACATCCTGGGCGGGCTGACAGGACGAGCTTTTTTTTCTCTAGTATTAACGAGGGAAAGAACGTGTGTTTTTGATCCTTTCTCGTTAATAATATACAAGAGATATTTATTTAGTGATTTTTAATGGTGATTTATTGTAATTTAATTATGTTTTTTTAGTTTGTAAGAAGAAAATAAATCAAATTAAGTGTTTAAAATTATTAGGAAGATTGATATTCCTTTAAAAATTAATACGGTATATATATTAATTTACCTTCCCATACAATCACCTCACTAACTACTCATTAACCAATAAATTAAACAAAAACTATAAAATCCCATTATAATCTATATAATTTAATCCCCAAAAACCTAATTAAATACAGATACCTTCATTATGATATGCGTAGGGCCTCGTTCATCCTAGAGACAGAAAACAGTGTTGACGAGGGAGGAGGGTCGTGGTAGCCTCGTAACATACTTCAACTTGTCAACATTATCAAAATTGGTCTATTATGCCCTACCCTCCCTCCTTCCATCCCTCCCTCCCTCCTGTCTCCATCTCTCCCTCCCTCCTTCCATCCCTCCCTCCCTCCTGTCTCCATCTCTCCTCCCTCCTTCCATCCCTCCCTCCCTCCTGTCTCCATCTCTCCCTCCCTCCTTCCATCCCTCCCTCCTGTCTCCATCTCTCCCTCCCTCCTTCCATCCCTCCCTCCCTCCTGTCTCCTCTCTCCCTCCCTCCTTCCATCCCTCCCTCCCTCCTGTCTCCATCTCTCCCTCCCTCCTTCCATCCCTCCCTCCCTCCTGTCTCCATCTCTCCCTCCCTCACTGTTTTAACGTGTATATTAACTTGTTATGTATTATTTAACTTGACTTCAACGTAATAAATAATTCGATTAAAATAAAATTTGAATTTCTTTGAAGTAAATTTTAGCTCTAAACATCAAGGGACTTTGTAAACACATTTATTAAGTGGTGACAGGTGGTGACAGGTGGTGACAGGTGGTGACAGGTGGTGACACGTGGTGACAGATGACTCAGGTGGCACACAATCTTATCTAAACAACCACAAATAGTGCTCAATTAACGTGCCACTTTCACACACACACACACACACACACACACACACACACACACACACACACACACATTCCGTCTCTATCACCACACCTTATAAAACACGTAATCATCACCAGAGATCAAGACAGTGCCAATCCACCAACTACCATAAGGACGATAACCCCATAGGTATATAGGTGTCTCTTCACCCTTACATGACATAGGAGGTTATACTGAATGGCCTCAGAAACAGTCGTAAAATTAGGTGATAAAGACGTATGCTGGCTCACAGGTAACAGGTAACAGGTAACAGGTGACAGGTAACAAGTAACAGGTATGATTGGTCAGATATCGAACTCATGTCCTCGAGATCTTGTGACGACATACTGAGCCAGGTAGCCAGTGATTAATTAAACAGGTAATTAACAGGTAAGAAACAGAAGTTAAATGGAATAATTAAATAAAATTATATATAGAGAACTGATGGCTGGACCTGACCTGACCTGACCTGACCTGACCTGACCTAACCTGACCTGACCTGAGACTGTATAGAAAGCAAGTTAGTGGAGTTATATAGAAAATGAATAACAAACAAAATAGGCAACAAAGATGTAAAGAAAACGGGAGACAGACGAACAGAAAACGGGAAACAAAAGGGGGAGACAACAGAGGAAAGGGAAAGAACGGGAAATATGGAGGAAATTACAATAAATAAAGTAAATGGGGAAGCGTGGGAAAGAGGGGAGTGGAGAGAGAGAGAGAGAGAGTAACAAACAAAATACAATAATAATAAGAAGAAGAAGCAGAAGAGTAAAAACAACAACAACAACAACAACAACAACATACAAACATCACAATATAAACAATCATAAAAACAAACAAAAACAAATGAACAAAACCAATAAAAACTGAAAAAACAAAAAAATAATAAATAAAAATCGTAATTAAAACAAGACGAAGAAAAACAACAAATAAAATCACGAAAAATCGGTAAAAAATAAATAAATAAATAACTCGATTTTTTACGAACATTACAACATTTACGACAAAAATTAATATATTTAAAAATGAAAGATTTGTCCTTAATTACAAATAGATCAATAGATGTCTATAATAGATCAATAGATGTCTATAATAGATCAATAGATGTCTATAATAGATCAATAGATGTCTATAATAGATCAATAGATGTCTATAATAGATCAATAGATGTCTATAATAGATCAATAGATGTCTATAATAGATCAATAGATGTCTATAATAGATCAATAGAGATCAGATAGATGTCTATAATAGATCAATAGAGATCTATAATAGATCAATAGATGTCTATAATAGATCAATAGATGTCTATAATAGATCAATAGATGTCTATAATAGATCAATAGATGTCTATAATAGATCAATAGATGTCTATAATAGATCAATAGATGTCTATAACAGATCAATAGATGTCTATAATAGATCAATAGATGTCTAGATCAATAGATGTCAATAGATGTCTATAATAGATCAATAGATGTCTATAATAGATCAATAGATGTCTATAATAGATCAATAGATGTCTATAATAGATCAATAGATGTCTATAATAGATCAATAGATGTCTATAATAGATCAATAGATGTCTATAATAGATCAATAGATGTCTATAATAGATCAATAGATGTCTATAATAGATCAATAGATGTTGACAAATAGATCAATAGATGTCTATAATAGATCAATAGATGTCTATAATAGATCAATAGATGTCTATAATAGATCAATAGATGTCTATAATAGATCAATAGATGTCTATAATAGATCAATAGATGTCTATAATAGATCAATAGATGTCTATAATAGATCAATAGATGTCTATAACAGATCAATAGATGTCTATAATAGATCAATAGATGTCTATAATAGATCAATAGATGTCTATAATAGATCAATAGATGTCTTCAATAGATCAATAGATGTCTATAATAGATCAATAGATGTCTATAATAGATCAATAGATGTCTATAATAGATCAATAGATGTCTATAACAGATCAATAGATGTCTATAATAGATCAATAGATGTCTATAACAGATCAATAGATGTCTATAATAGATCAATAGATATCTACAATAGATCAATAAAAGTCTACAATAGATCAATAAATGTTGACAAATAGATTAACAGATGTCGACAATAGATCAACATATGTCTACAATAGCTCAATAGATGTCGACAAAGGAGGAGACGCCTATAAACACGACTCCAGTATTTGGTGTCCGACAGAAACATTTCGACAGTCGATGCGTTTAGACAAGAGGTGTGTGTGTGTGTGTGTGTGTGTGTGTGTGTGTGTGTGTGTGTGTGTGTAAGAGGGCGTGGAACTCGCTCCTGGAAGACGGATCCCCCTAAGAGTACTCTGGAATCCCTACTACAAAAATAAAAATCTGGCAACATACTCCCTTGTTCTTTCCAAAGTCAGTTCCCGAGACGGCCAACCACCCCTTGCCTAAGACCTCCAGCTGTCGTGTTCCCCCTCGGGTTATTTCCCTCTTTACCCGACTGTAGGAAGTGACGTACTACTTCATCCACGGCGGGAGTTATACTAATCGATGTTATAAATAGTACCGTGTGGATATACCGCCCTTTAGACTATCAATTTATTGTCAAAATACAAGTTTGGAACAAAGACGGGTATATATAATAACTCCAGGTGTCATTTAGTGCAGTAGCTCCTCCTCCTTCCCCTCCCACAAACACGGTGGTTGGTTGAGAGTTCTGGGTTACTATTGGGTGGAAGGTGGTGGTCCCGCCCCTGGTTGGGGTGTTGTGGCCCCGGGCGGTACCGAGGGCCACTTATCTCCGCTCCATTATTTGATACAGCGTTTCTGGTAACACACGCTCAAAATCAACTTGCTGTGGTGTAACGCCGATACTGTAATTCCTCTTAAAACTCAGTATCAACTTGGATTAAGGCAGACTTTCAGATTTGTGGCGGTCATTTGTCGACAGTTTAGAGTGTGACGCCAAGCTGGGAACAGGTAGCTGGTTAGACCCCCCTGGCCGGCCGCTCCTCCGCGCTGTGAAGTGCTTCTTTTGCTGCCGTGGTTCTTTACGCTAAAACTACCAAGACCGTTCTCTCTCTCTCTCTCTCATACACCTCACCCCACCGTGTTCTCTTGTTCTCTCCCCCGCGGTATCTCTTAAACAGCCACACTGTCTAACGATATTGAACGTCGACTTGACTCTTGGTTCCTGGTAGGTGATCGGCCCTCCTCCTCCTACGCCTCCCAGCACCGCCTTCCACCGCCTCTCCGTCAGGAACACAAAATGGACCCCCTTACCGGCGGCCTCGGTGATGGCCTCTACGACCTGGTGCCCAGCGCCCATCACACCACCCACGCCGACACCACCCACACCCACGGCCGCGATACCGACGGCACGGGTTCGCTGGGGGGCGCGGGCGGCACCACTCACTCACACGTCCAACACAACCCGGCCTCTTCAGCCTCCCGTCTGACCGTCCTCTCCGCCTCACGCCAACATGACCCCACGCCCAGAGGTAACTCACGCCCACGAGGCTCTGTCTAAATCTAACTTAGATATCATCCCTACCATCAAAATCTAATTCTTGTTCATTTAGAATAGAATTTACACCCATATGTACAACAACACGCACGTCCTCTCTCATCCTAACCTAATTAAAAAAACTCCCAGACCATCAAAATCTAATTCTAATCAACATATAAGACAACATCATCCTAAAATACCCATCAATATACACAACCCCTCCAATTCAAACTCACTTTAGACAACATTACTCCGATCTAAATCAAATTCCTGACCTTTTAAGATACCGTAACGACCCAAAGCCTCACTCCTGTAGATAATCTTCTAAATCTAAGCGACATTAGACGAGATTACTGCCGTCAAAGTCAAATGGAACTTTATTTACGGGTCGAAGATGATTCATTTGTTTGTTTGGCAGTGAAAAACCCTTAGAGTATAACATAGGGTAGGTTAGGGTAGGTTAGGTTAGGGTAGGTTAGGTTAGGTTAGGGTAGGTTAGGGTAGGGTAGGGTAGGTTAGGGTAGGGTAGGTTAGGGTTAGGGTAGGGTTAGGGTAGGGTAGGTTAGGGTAGGGTAGGGTAGGGTAGGGTAGGGTAGGTTAGGTTAGGGTAGGGTAGGGTTAGGGTAGGGTAGGTTAGGTCTATTCATAATCCCGATAAGATAGCAGTGTAACGACTCGATTACAACTCAAATTACTACACCGCTGACGCACCCAATTTCACCCGTCCCTATTAATCTTTGTTTACATAATGAGTATAAATAAATCACCCATTTCAACCCTAATTACACGGACCTAATTTGGTGTTCCAATTATTATGACCAATTAAGCAAATTAAATTAGTTACAGCAACCAATTTGGAGTTAAGGTTGAATTATACTGACGAATTTTTTTTTTACGTGTTATAGGGACCAAATTAGTGGTTTATTGAGGGTATAATCCAAATTGTTGTTTTAATTACACTTTACAACCAATTTCATGTCTCAGGTATAACAATTTGGTGATTTAATGGTGCTAGTAGCGCTATTACATATACTGAAGGCTAGTGGGGCTATTAGATAACAGCTATTGTAATCGCTAGGAAAAAAAAGCCATCTTGTTCTGCCTAACCCTTGTCCATTCGTCTCTTTAATATCGATTCCCCAAATTGCAGATAATATGATAATTAAGCTGACTTTAAGCTCCAATTAAGCTCCAGTTAAGCTTTAAAGCACATCACTTCAAGAGCCTGGTAAATCAGAGCTCCGTTTCCACCTCTGGGCTCTGGGATTAATTATATGATTAACTAGAATTTGGGGGGCGCGAATAACATCAAAATTTCGCTATTATTTGTGTTTATTTCAGTACAAATTCGCGATTCTTGTAGATGTGAGTACAATTTCGCGATCTGGTGAGCATGTGAGTACAAGTTTGCGATTGTAGCATTTATTTGAGTCCAATTTCGCGATCTTGTCAGAATATGAGTCCAAGTTTGAGATTGTTGTGTTTATTTGAGTCCAATTTTGCGATTTATATATATGTGAGTACAAGTTCGCGATTTTGGTTCCACTGTACATCTGACTCAAAATCGGCGAATAAGTATTTCTATGTCAAAATCCGCAAAGGTTTCACTTAAATCGGCGAATTATGAGTACAAAAATTTCATGACTTGTGACTTCAAAATCTGTGGTTGTATAAGATTTAAAATCGGGGAAATCTAGGACGTAAAATCGGCGACTCTCTTTACGACTTAAAATCCGCGGGTCTTTGTTTATTATTAAAAATCGCGCAATGTGTCCGCTATTATCGCTAAATCGCGCAATGTGTCCGCTATTATCGCTAAATCGCGCAATGTGTTCGTTATGTTTATCGCCAAATCGCGCAACATAGACAATCTGATCGTCCATAAACAGCGGAAAATAGCCGCCAAATTTATCGCTAAATCGCAACATGTCGCTGGACCGCGGAAGATAGTCGCCAACTCTATCACTATAGATCGCGTCACCTCACCGCAATATCGCTGCTAGATCGCGCACTGTAGCCCCTAGATCGCGCACTGTAGCCCCTAGATCGCGTAACATAGCCGCTAGATCGTATAACGTAACATATATATACCGTGCAAAATAGCCGCTAAATCGCTCAACATAGCCGCTAAATCGCTCAACAGCATAGCCGCTAAATCGCTCAATAGCATAGCCACTAAATCGCTCAACAGCATAGCCGCTAAATCGCTCAATATAGCCGCTAAATCACGACACGAGAATACAATTTTTTCATACCTATTCATGTTCGCTATATCGTGAAATATCTACCCCCATCTGACCACCCCATGACCCATGAACCCACGGCCTCCATACCAGACACCCATGGCTTCGTTTTGACCCCAGAACCAGTTTGATGTATACACGCCCACGCCCATTATAGCATCCCACAACACACACACGCCCACTAACACCCTCACAACCACACCCACGCCCAATCTAGACCAGAAAATGACCCTCCGAGGCAACTAATCCGCTAATCAATGCACCAATCATCAGATCTGAGGGTTTGGTGACCACGTACCACTCGAATTATTTACAGTGTGTGTGTTTACCAATCGTTCCAGATGTTGGTGTACAGGTCTCAGGGGATAAGAGCTTTTAATTTCCATTTATCTCTCTCTCTTAGGAAGATTTTAACCCTTTGAGGATGTGAGGATGGGATTTAACCCTTTGAGGACGGTGATTTAATTTTGAGGACGGTGATTTTTAACCCTTTGAGGAGGTGATTTAACTCTTTGAGGACGGTGATTTAATTTGAGGACGGTGATTTAACTCTTTGAGACGGTGATTTAACTCTTTGAGGACGGTGATTTAACTAACCCTTTGAGGATGGTGATTTTTAACCCTTTGAGGATGGTGATTTTTAACCCTTTGAGGACGGTGATTTAACCCTTTGAGGACGATGATTAAACCCTTTGAGGAAGGTGATTTTAACCCTTTGAGGACGATGATTTAACCCTTTGAAGACGGTGATTTAACTCTTTGAAGACGATGATTTAACCCTTTGAAGACGGTGATTTTAACCCTTTGAGGACGATGATTTAAACCCTTTGAGGACGATGATTAAACCATCGTCCTCGAGGGATTAAAATTTCGCTGACATCCCCTAATCAGATCTAAGCGTCAGCTCTGAGTGTCAGCTGCCGTCAGACGTTGTAAACAGTCAAAATATTCTCAACCAAACAGTAAGCCTCTGCTGACGCTAGAACACTGGCGTACGTGCGCCAGGCGTAATTGCGATAGACTTAGGTATACCAAGAGTGCTTACGGAAGACTATATGGTAACGTCAGGCGCTGGTGATCGCCCGTACTGGCGTTGTAAATATATTAAATTATAATATAGATTTAAATCGTCGTGAAATTTAAAAAACAAAAATTTTATATAAAAACCAATTTACTTCAATAATTTTAAACAACAAATTATCTTAAAATACCAATTTATACAAAACCAATTTTAGTCTATTGTCTATTTAAAAATCCCTATAAGTTTATTAACCAATTTCAATATCTATCTATTAAAATAAAAATCTTAAGGATATGTGAGCCATTTTTGACTCCATCTTGTCTTAGTAATTAGTGAAGAAACTAATGGAATAAATCGGTGTATTTTTTAGGGTGATTCTCTTCTAACTTGTCTCTCTCTCTCTCTTCACCCTTCTCTCTCTTTTCTCTTCCTCCTTTCCCCCCTCCCCTTACTTTCAATCCCTCTTTCTCTCCCTCCACCGTCATTCCTCCCTTTCTATCTCTCCCTTCATTTTCCTCCCTTCCCCCTCCCTCCACCCCCCCTTTCTCTCTTTTCTCCATTTCCTCTTCTCCTCTTCTCTCACTCCTCCTTCCCTCCTTCTTTTCCCTCCTTCCTTCCCCTCCTTTCATCCCCTCCCTTATAATGTCGATAGCAGCCCCGGCCGACTGTCTACCGCTAAAGCCGCCGCCAACACCGCCCGCAGTCCTACACCCTCGCCCGCCGCCAACACCGCCCGCCGCTATCACCGCCCCTACACCTCTACGGACAAAATCTTATCGGATATCTATTCCCAATGGACAATACTGCATGGGGAAAGAATATATTGGACAAAATCAAGTTAGATATCGTATTGGACATAAACTCTAGTGAAAATTACCCATCGGTATTTCGTATTGGACTAAACTCCGCCACAAAGTTTCCTATCGGACAAAATTTCCACAAATATTATCGTATTGGACAAAATTATACCCTAATAATTCCCTATCGGACAAAATATCTCTAAATAATACCATATTGGACAAAACTCGGCCATAAAGTTCCCTGTCGGTCAAAATATCTCTAAATAATATCATACTGGGCCAAATTCTTCACATTAACGGATCAGACAAAATTCTAACCACAAAATTACACATCGGACAATACTCCACTGGTCAAAACTAGCACCTCAATATTTCCCATTAAAAAAAAAATTGGACGCTGGACAATATATCGATCTTTGTGACGTAGTTTAAGTGAGTCAGTGAAAGGTTGAGTCAGTCAGATTAAGTGAGTCAGTCAAAGTTTAAGTGAGTCAGTCATTTACACACACACACACACACACACACACACACACACACACACACACACACACCTTAACACACCCATAACCTGATTGGTCACACGTCACCAATCAGACAGACAGACGCACAAACAAAGTAATAACACATAACAGAGTGATTAATCAGACCGGACCGCCACTCCGATATTCTGCGGTTAAAAATGGGTTTGGCGGTCAGAGGAGTATTTGGCGGTCAATATTGTGTCTGGCGGTCAATATTGTGGAGTCTTAGGCGGTTAGATGAGTATTTGGCGGTCAATATTGTGGAGTCTTTGGCGGTCGAAGGATTATTTGGCGGTTAGAGGAGTATTTGGCGGTGAGAGGAGGCGGTCAGAGGAGTATTTGGCGGTCAATATTGTGTCTGGCGGTCAATATTGTGGAGTCTTAGGCGGTTAGATGAGTATTTGGCG